CTTTGCATAATTCTTACTGCTTGAATTTCATACAATCTGACAGTCCTAATATGTATAGTTTTCCAGCCAGAGCCTATTTTATACTTTTCTTAGATGCTTGCTCAATGTATAGTCTTCAGGAACTGAGTTTTTCAAATGAGACTGCCTCTCTGGGCACAATGGCCACGGAAGGGCACTGGAGTCCCTTCTTCTCTCATATGTGAGTGTTCTGTCTCTGACTATGATGGCTGCTCACGGCTCCTCCTGGGAGGCATACACCATTAGTCAGGTTACAGCCTAAGCCTCTGTAACAAATGGATCCCAAGTAGTGAATTGAGGAAAATGGGATTTTATTTCTCTCAAGCAGTCTAGCAGTAGATAGGAAGTTCTGGTTAGCAGCACAGCTCTGCTGCAGGTCATTCAGGACTGTGTTTGCCTCTATCTTGTTACTCGCACATTGTTAGGGGCATTGTTGCTGCCTGGTTAAGTCGAGTCATGGTCATGTCTCAATCCTAGGTGATGAGATAGAAGTGAAAAAAAATTAACAAGGTACAAGAAATTTCCTTCGATGTGATATAGTAGCTGTGTATATCATTATGTTGGCAAGATCTTTGTCTCATGGACCCATCCAGCTACAACAAAGGCCAGGAAAAATGATCTATGTGCACAAATGTGTTATGATAAATAAAAAAATGGGAGATTAGATTTTGGTGGACAATTAGCATGCCCAAAGCAAAATAAACTGAAAAAAAAATCTGGTAGGGGTTACCTGTCTTCAGTCAAGAGTCTTTTTATAAAATAATTTAAATTAATGTATGTGAGCCCTCCATTTAACCAATGCCTTTATATTTCTGCTAAACAGCCACCATGTAACAAAAATCTCCAGAAACTTCTGCTTAGTCATTTTCCAATCAATAGCAAGTAGAAAATTTTATATCTCTATATATCCTTTCAATCATGGTTTCTTTTTTCCTAGTTCTTGGAAGCATAAAGTGTTTCTAGATGCAAATCAGTCTTTTTTAATATTTATTTATTTATTTATTTATTTTGACAGGCAGAGTGGATAGTGAGAGAGAGAGACAGAGAGAAAGGTCTTCCTTTTTGCCGTTAGTTCACCCTCCAATGGCCGCTGTGGCCTGCGCATTGCGCTGATCCGAAGCCAGGAGCCAGGTGCTTCTCCTAGTCTCCATTGGGGCCATCCTCCACTGCACTCCCTGGCCATAGCAGAGAGCTGGCCTGGAAGAGGGGCAACCGGGACAGAATCCGGCGCCCCTACCGGGACTAGAACCCGGTCTGCAGGCGCCGCAGGGGGAGGATTAGCCTATTGAGCCACGGCGCCGGCCGCAAATCAGTCTTATATTTCCATTTTACAGGGTAAAAAAAACTAAGGTGCAAGCTGGTGTGTGGCACAATGGATTAAGCAGCCCATATTAGAGTGCCAGTCTGAGGCCTAGTTGTTCTCTCCCTACTAATATTCCTGGAAAAGCAACCAAAGATGGCCCAAGAATGTTGATGCCTGCCACTCATGTAGAAAACCAGGATGGAGTTCCTGACTCAGTGCCAGCTGTTGCAGCCATTTGAGAAACAGTAGATAGAAATTTTTTTGCCTTTCCCTCTATTTCTAAGATATGTCTGTCTTTCAAATAAATAGAAAGAATCTTTCTCAAAAGAAATAATGTGAATAATGATAAAGTAAAGGAATCATTGTCCTATATCCAAGGTTATTGACCAGGAAGTCTGCAGGTCTGAGTTCTAGGTTCTGTTACTACTTCCTTGCTCCTTGAGTGACTTACTAAGTCCTTATAGATGAGTCAAAAGACTCCTTTTGGACTTAAAATCAAAGCTCAATAACTGGCCCAGGCTTAAACATCTATAGTACCTGGAGCATTGTGGGGCTTACATTTTCTGCTAGAGCACCCTGAAATCATAGCAACAATAATAGGACCTCAACACATATTTCTTGAATAAACAGATGAAAAGTAATTATGGTGACCAAATATTTTTGGGTGTTTCTGGTTTATGCCTTGGAAAAGCTGTATACCTGGTAATCGCTGCCAATGTCCCCATTTACTCTCAAAAGTATTCCAGTTTTGTCCCATAATATGTTCAGGGTAATGATAAGAGTTTTCTCTCTGTTCAAAAGGCAACTGTTTAAACTACAACTAAGCAATAGTACTTGTTTTAAGTTCATGCAGACCCCAACATAGATCTTTAGAATTGTACAATTTCAAAGGTATAGTCAATGTAGTAAACAGAGATAAGCATTGAGATCTACATAAATAAAGTTTAAAATAATATAAATTCTTTAGGAGAAAGTGTGAAAAAATCAAACAAGTAAACCAGAAAAAGCACTCCCAAAAGAAATGAGTTGGGCTATGAGTGAGAGGATGTGCATGCAAAGGAGAGGTGGGGGAGGGGAAAGACTTGTATAGGACAGTGTCATCAAAGTTTAGCCCAGATAAAGGAACTCATAGATCAATGTTCAGAATACAGGTGACAGCCAAGGGAAAGATAATACTGAGAGCCTACCTTGGCTTCAACCAGAGGAATTTGGAATGCATCAGTTTTTCATTTGAGAGTTCTAAGCAATATTACATTTAAATACCTGGTTTTACTAACAAGGGGGTTCTACATTGGACTAGATGAACTCAGAAATCTTTTCTTCATTTTTCAAACTTCATATTATATTATTTTAATACAGAGAAATGGAGTAACACCAGGTAAGCTAGAGGAGGAGCTTGAATGCTGGTCTGACTTAAAAGAAATGAAACTAAGATAGAATGTAGAAGACTGATTGAGGTGCCAGAACGTGAAATACCAGTGTATTGGCCTCTGTCTTTCTATGACTATTTACTACAACCTGATTTTTTATATAATATACTCTTAAACAGTCTGAGAATTCTCAGTCTCATACCCATTTGGTAAAAAAAATAAGGCACACATCACAAGGAAAATAGTGCCATTGTATAGAAGTGAATACCATTTTTATATGGTCTAATTCAACACACTTTGTCATAATTCTTCAAATCTTATCACTACAAATTAATGTGAGTTACAAAATAGCATATAAAATTGAATTAGGCACAGTCCCGAGTTTATTTTTGAGTAAAGTTTGGGAGTTACTAGTGACTAGTGGATCCTTCATTGTGATGAAAATTTTTAAAACAGGAGGAATCACACTTTTTCCCAAAGTATTATTCATTCCCAGTCCTACTATGGACTTGAATGTCTTGGACCAACTGAGGTTATAATGTTCAAAAAGCAATTCTACACTCAAAGTAAGAATGTACAATTATTCCTACATTTGTAAAGGGTAGTACTGTGATATCAGGACTTGATGATAGAAAATTATGCTAGCACTTAATACTTTGGTTAAGATGTCTTTGTCCCATAATGGATAAATTGAGCTCCTGACTTTAGCTTCCTGCTAATGTAGACTTTGAGTGGTGATGGTTCAAGTAGTTGATTTTCTGCCATCATGTGCAGATAGGATTCAGCTCACAGCTCCTGACTTGGGCCTGATCCAGTCCCAGCTATTGTGGGCATTTGAGAATGAACCAGTAGATGGAAGATATCTCTCGCCCACCCTCTCTCCTTCTCCTGTGCTCTCCCCTTTATTTTTATTTTTATTTATTTATTTAACAGGTAGAATTACAGACAGTGAGAGAGAGAGAGAGAGAGAGAGAAAGGTCTTTCTGCCTTTGGTTCACTCCTCAAATGGGCGCAACAGAAGGAGCTTCTTCCTGGTCTCCCATGTGGGTGCAGGGGCCCAAGCACTTGGGCCATCCTCCACTGCCCTCCTGGGCCACAGCAAAGAGCTGGACTGGAAGAGGAGAAAACGGGACCTGGAAGAGGAGCAACCAGGACTAGAACCTACACCCATATGGGATGCCAGCGCCGCAGGCGGAGGATTTAGCCTAGTGAGCCACGGTGCTCTCTTCTTGAGTCCCTCTCAAATAAACACATCTTTTACGTATTCTACCCCCCAAACTCCAGGGGACTATCTAAGTTCAGCTCAAAGAACATTCTTTTTTCTAAAAATAAATGCTTTTTGTATCTATTCCAGCTCAGCAAAAAGCCTTCCAACATCACAAATTAGTGGTGTGCACAAATACTGTTTGGGGACAGTCATCTGTTGGGACCTCTCCAGCTTCCCCATGTACCAAAGTACTCCATGCTCAGAGCAACAGGAAGCTTCCTCAGTAGGAACTGAATTGACCATTGGATTCAACTTGCAAATTTGATTTTTTTCAGTTTCCTCTTGTCATAGAGGATGCCCATGTACAAAGGATTGGGACCTGTTGTACTTTTATGAATTAGTCACTTGAAATCTAAGAATGGATTATAAAGCTGTCACCTTATACAACCAAAAAATAAAAAGAGTCAGAGAAAGAGGTGCTACATAAGGGAACTTAAAAATCCCACCACAACAGATGGCTTGTGCCATTTTGAATTTAGTCTCCCTAAGGAGCAAACCCTTGTCGAGGCTATTAAAGTTTCTGTTTGCATGAGAAAATGCTATTTCAATATTGATGGCTATATCTATGTGACCTCCATTGAAAACAAAGTCACAGAGATTTACCCTTAATTCGAGAGGAAGAAAATAATAGACAATCCACCCAGTGCCACATTCATCTTTGAGAACTGATTAAAGTGGCAGCAGGGCAACAAAACTGCACTACTCAATACAAGATTTGCCTCAAGGAATAAAAATAAAATAGGCACATTACTCCTCAAAGACACATATTTTATTTAGTTGTTAAGAGTAGAGTGTTGGAATTTTTGAAGAACTGTTGCTATTTAATAGAGGTGAAAGTTTTAATGTGAATACTGCCTGTGTGAACGCGTGTGTGTAAAGTTGGCGTGACACATTCTGCTCAAATTAGACTTCTAAATAACTAGTAACAGCTGTGGTGCTTAGAAATCAGTTTGGTTTAAACGATGATGTCATGTGCTTATATAAGTATAATAGGTGTGCTTATTGGATAGAGAAGTATATGATTCACTTTTTAATCTAAAAGAGATGGCATGCAGGTATCTTCATTTAGCACCTTTAAAAATGCCACACTTAAAACTAAATTATATTTCCCAACACCTTTAATATTTTACCCTCACACACCATTTAAAAACATGCACTTCCACACGGATAGCAGAGATAGGAATAGATACATACTACACTTGATCTTAGCCAAAAGGCCGAGAAGCAATGGGAATAGATACATAAAAATTATTTCACAGCAGAATTAAAAATGACCAAGCACAAAACTGTCTGTATTCACTTATATTCCTGAATTCTCACTGAGATGCCAATTTTAACTGGGTACTTAAAGAAGTTCAGGAGAATACAATTAAAATATAAGTTTATTTGGGTGAAAAAATTTTTTTAAATGAATAGTTTTTTCATAGTCCACATTTGCACGAACTTTTTTGAAGACCTCTCCTATAAGTGAATTGGATCCTCACTCTGTGATAAAAACAAATCTCAGAAATAGCCAAGTTTGCTGAATTACATTTTTGTTTCCTAAAAGCACTTGAGCAGCTAAAGCTAGTTAATAAAAATTACACGGAGAAGCAATTCTAATTAACCTAATTACTTAAATATCATTTCTATCAGTAAACATTGGCCAGAGATTATGCCAGTGAAGTCTGCCTAAAATTAGAACAATATAGTAAGCACAGTGAATCATTTTTTTCAGCCATTCTAACTGTAATATCTGTGTAAGTGATGTTCTTGGAGGAAGAAAGGGAGAAAATTTTGAAATTAAAGATATTAATGTAGAAAGATTCTCCTCTATTACTAGAAGTTAATATCATGAACAACTTCAAATCTGATTGTTTCTCTTTGTGCTCATAAAGATAGAAACATGGCAGTGAGCAAGACAATGTATTTACTTTGATATTGTCTTATAAAAGGCCAGGTTAATTATAAAAGCATATTCATTTGTGTGAAAAGCTTTCATGCATGCTCTTGATTAAAGAAAAGCTCAAAAGACATGAATTATTTTTGGTTCACAACTCAAAATATGGCTTTTTAAAATGTCTTTCTTTCCAAAGCCTTATAAAAAGAGAACAGCTTCTCATTGAGAAACATAGAAGACAAGTGTTCTTCCAAGGAAGCCCATATTGTTCACTCTTTGCACCCCTCGTCTCCAAAACTGGGGGAGACTTGGTGCTAACATACTTTCTTCGCAAAATCACCAGTGCTTCTCATTTCAGATATTCAAGTATTTAAAGGCAAGTAGTTTGAGAATGAGTCTATCTCTTCTCCTAATCCTGTGTGTGCTAAATGAAGTCCAAGTTCTCAAAATGGCTTGTCATCTTAGAGGAAGAAGGAAGAAGTATTTAAGAGGACACTTGGAGAAAGAAGTGTTTCCAAAAGAAGTTATGGTGATACAATATGGTAAGCAAAAAAAAAATGTTTGCTATGTCCTACACTCAGCTGGAACATCTCCTGTTTGGCGATATTTCACAAAATGATTTCACAAGCAAATGGTTTAATGCATGGCCAGCCAATTTAGCCTTTATTTTAAATATATTCTTTATGCATATAGATATTTTGAGATTGTGCCTTCTGGAATGATTACTGAAGCCACATTGAAAAGTCATTATGCAGAAACATGGGTGTACAAATAGTTCATAGCTTGGGGGAACTATAAATAGAACTGACTGAATTTTGTTAAAGGGTTCATGTCCTGGTTATTTAAAAGAACTATCTTTGTGGCATTGATCAGCTATAACACTTCTAATTTGCATTTAGCTAAAATAAAGCATGGGGGGGAAATCATACTCAATTTTTGGAAAGGAATATTGATGAAAAATACAATGAATTAAAAAATGAAGTATGGTCAAGTTCCAACAAAAGGACACATTTTGGTTTTCTATTATGTAACAGCTCATTAATTCTATGAACATTTACAGCAGGTATCCATAATTTTGGGGACTGCATATTCTAGAGAACTAAGGTAATTGGAAAATATAGAAATATCTAGCTAGATTCTAAAAATATCACAGATAAATGTTTAGAAACAAAATAATTAATACCTTATTCATCGATCAGATAATATGTGACAATGCCAATTGCATGTGGTTATGTTATAAACCCTCGATACCCTCACGGAGTTACAAAAAATACAACTTTAGAAGTTTTTAGTTATATTCACAAATTTCTAAAATAGTATGCTACTCTTGATAAAATTCAACATCCTCATCTTAAGAAAGGCTTTGGATAGTGATATATTCACTTAGTTATCACTTTTTTCCATAAATAGTAAAGGACTGCAAATTCTCTATTTCAATATGCCCACTGAGTTTTTTCAGATTTAGTGGCTAATTATATTACATAGTTTCAAGAGAAATGCACAATACTTTGAAACCTTACTAAAGGATGTTGAAAAATAGTTTATATTGATTATATAGGTATTCATATGTATGCCTATCTGTGTAAAATATATGAAGGTACTTCAAAAAGTTTATGGAAAATGGAATTGAGAAATGATTTTATTTTGATGCAAAAGTTTTCCACAATACAGGAAAATGAAGGTTTTGAATGTATGTCATACATGGATTTCAAATTTTTTTGCAGCAAAATAAACTTCTAATTCAATTTCACATACCTTTGAAGTACTCATATATATGCTATGTTTGTATGTGTGTGTGCATATGTATATCCAACTTCAATAACTTACAAGATAAAATATCTATCCTAAAACCTACTTTGATTGGGGATTAATGTTTACAGCTTTATCCTGGAATCAGGTGGATAGTTCATAACTTCACAGATGATTATTGCTAATTTTTAAAACTCTACTAAGTAAAAAAAGTTTGTTGCGGGTGGGAGGGACGTTATGGGGGGGAAGCCATTGTAATCTATAAGCTGTACTTTGGAAATTTATATTCATTAAATAAAAGTTTAAAAAAAGGAAAAAAAATTTAAACAAAAAAAAAGCCCAATTAGCTATTTCACAAACAAATTAAATACCCCAGAAATTAATTTACAGATCTACAACCAACCAATTTTTGACAAATGAATTAAAATCTTCCATGGAGAAAGGACAGTATCTTCAACAAATGGTGTTGGAAAAATTGAATGTCTGCATGCAGAAGTATGAAACAAGAACCCTACCTTATGTCCTATATAAAAATCAACTCGCAATGATTCAAGATCTAAATTTAAGACCTGAGAAAATCAAATTGTTAGAGAAAAACATGGGGGAACATTGCAAGATATTGTCATAGGTAAAGACTTCTTCAATAAGACCCCAGAATCACATGCAATAAAACCAAAAATAGAAAAATGGGATCACAGCAAACTAAGAAGTTTCTGCACAGCAAAAGACACATTCAACAAAGCAAAGAGGCAACCAACAGAATGGAAGAAAATATTTGCAGACTATACATCTGATGAAAAATTGATAAGGAGTTCAAGAAACTTAACAACAATAAAACAAACAAACCAAATAAGAAATGGGTGAAGGACACAAACAGGCATTTTTCAAAGGCTGAAATACAAATGACTAACAGACACATTAAGAGATGCTCAGGATCACTAGCCATCAGGAAAAATGAATAAAAACCACAATGAGGTTTCACCTCACCACAGTTAGAATGACTATCAATCAAAAACTCAATAAATAACAAATGCTGAGAGGATGTCAGGAAAAGGTACCCTAATACACGGTTGATAAGAATGTAAACTGGAACAAACATTAATGAAGACAGTATGCATGTTCCTCAGAATTCTCAAAATAGATCTACCATATGACCCAGCCATCTCACTCCTGGAATTTACCCAAAGAAAATAAAATCAGCATATGAAAGATTTATCTGTACCCCCATATTTATTGCAGCTTAACTCACAAAAGCTAAAATATGGTATCAATCCAGATGTCCATCAACTGATGGTTGGATAAAGAAATTATGGATATATACATATTGAAACAAGACACAGCCTTAAATAAGAATGAAATCCTGCCTTACATAACCAAATGGACACCATAGGAGACCATTATACTTAGTGAAATAAGCTGTTACCAAGAAGACAAATATCATATTTTTCCCTTATTTGTGGCAATTAACATAGAATACCAAAAATGTAATGTATATAAGACTGACATTTTGATATTTGATTATTTTTTACAGTCCTGTTTATACTCCTGAGGAACAGAGGTTTTTCTACTTACTCCTTGCTGAATTCTTTATTCAGTGGAGGTTTAAGCTTATAATCATAAAGTAAATTGAAATTATGTAATTATAAAAATTAAGAGAAAACTAAGAAAAGAAGGAGGAGGGAAAAGAAGAATGAGGGAAAGTAGAGTGGAAATTAATGTTATGCTCTTAACCCCAGTTAGAATGGCTCACATTCAGAAATCTACCAACAATAGATGCTGGAGAGGACATGGGGAAAAATGGACACTAACCAACTGTTGTGGGAATGCAAATAGGTTAAGCCACTATGGAAGTCAATCTGGAGATTCCTCAAAAACCTGAATATAACCCTACCATACAACCCAGCCATACCACTCCTTGGAATTTACCCAAAGGAAATGAAATTGGCAAACAAAATCTGTCTGCACATTAATGTTTATTGCAGCTCAATTCACAATAGCTAAGACCTGGAACCAACCCAAATGCCTATCAACAGTAGACTGGATAAAGAAGTTATGGGACTGTACTCCATAGAATACTATACAGCAGTAAAAAAAAATGAAATTTGGTCATTGGCAACAAAATGGAGGAATCTGGAAAACATGCTGAGTGAACTAAGCCAGGCCCAAAGGGACAAATATCATATGTTCTCCCTGATTGGTGACAACTAACTGAGCACCAAAAAGGAAACCTGTTGAAGTGAAATGGACACTATGAGAAACAGTGACTTGATCAGCTCTTGTCCTGACTGTTGATGTACAATGTAATACATTATCCATTTTAGTATTTTTTTTGTTCTAGTACTATTGGTTGAACTCTGTAATTAACACACAATTATTCTTAGGTGTTTAAATTTTAACTGAAAAGTGATCCCTGTTAAATGTAAGAGTGGGAATAAGAGAGGGAAGAGATGTACAATTTGGGACATGCTCAAGCTGACGTGCCCCAAATGGTGGAGTTAGAAATGTGCCAGGGGATTCCAATACAATCCCATCAAGGTGGCATGTACCAATGCCATCTCACTAGTCCAAGAGATCAACTTTTGTTCACACTTAATCACACTG